TCGTTGACGAAGCACCCCTTAATGGCCGTTGTTTCGACACCACTCTCGATCACATGGCCGAATAAATATTGACGACCGCTTGCCGTAACTTTCCGAAGCTGAAAGCTTTCAACAATCATCATTTCAACAGTAGAATATTTTGAAGACATTTGGCGATAATCACAAACTACCTAGAAAAATCTATCTAAAAGCAAAAAAACTCAAAGCACGGCAATACGTACAGAACATATAAATTAGTGCTGTAAGTCAGACGCTATGTTCGTGTTCGGTTCGGTTCGGCAGAGTTCGGCAATTTTTCACCCGAACTTGGTTCGGTTCGGGGTTCGGTAATATAATAGCAAGCAGCGTTATAGCCACGCCGGTCGGCACTGGGCTGGCCTGCCGGCCTGCCGGGCCCGACCAGCACGGAGGACTTCTGCACACTGCTTCCGACCAGCACGAATTTCACATTAAAAAACTGCTCTAAACGTAATTATTTGTGAAGAAAAATACTACTTACATTCGTATTTCCGTCTTGAATCGTGTTTTATTTTCAATTTTAAAAGAATCATGTTTTCAATTTGTCAATAAATGATATTTTTTAAAGATTTTCCGAGACGGTTGTTGTCTAATGTTAGAGTCATGAAAGCTGCCATCTTGAATATAGAGACTCAGGCTCGTCAATAACTGTTTTTTATAAGTTTTTATTTTCAATAGGAAAAATATAAAATCCCTATTTTTTCCTAAATAAATAAATACTATACTATAATATATATTTATTTCATTATTTATATTGTAAAATTTGTCTGATATCATTACCATTAAAATATTAATTTTTTGTTGAATGGGTTTTGGCTGAATTTGTTTTGATTACGCACATGTATTCTTGTTTATGGCTTGCGATCGCGACGTAGCGTGGTCAGGATTTGGGATTTAAATGGTTGGTCAGTGAAGTCGCGCCCACCACTGGATAGGCATAAATCACAAAGGCGGAAAATGGGAAAAAAGTAAATATAAAATGAGCAATCATGACATGAAAATTAGGTACAAAATGACAAGTTTATTAGCTTGCAAAAAACTTTTATATTTTTCTGCCGAACATCCGAACCAGGCCTTTGCGTTCGGTTCGGTTCGGTTCGGTTCGGAAGTGCCATGTTCGGCGAACTTCCGTTCGGTTCGGCGGTTCGGCTACAGCACTAATATAAATTCCACTATCCGAACACCATACATGCAATTGTCAGGCCACCTATATACCCAGATCCAGATCCATGACTCCCCGTAATATAAAAAAGTCATTTGTGACCTTTCATCCTTTCTTAACCACAACCAACTCCAAAGCCAAATAGCTCTTGCATTATTAAACATTACCTGAACATTGCTCCCTTCTCAACGAAGAGTTGTTTCTTCCCTCCTTCTCCTAGTAGCTGTTCAACTTGTTTTATATTGGATATGTGGTGGCTTGATGTTTTTTGCTTACAAGGCTCCGGTGAGCAGAATTGGACATACCGTCCATACTTTTGAAAAATGTCTAGTTCTTCTTCCTGGTAAATATGAAATTAAAGGTTAATTCATCAAGGAAAAGCTACAAATATAATCTGTTAGTGTCCCCTGATGGAAGAACTTGATGATGCACCCTTTCTTGCCCCATTGCCCTGTACGGGGGCTACATGGCAAGCTTGTCCATCAGGTAAGGATCAGGCTTATGGAGAGCCATTTTGATACCACTGTTGATAAGGGTTTCATGGGATTCATCCAACGCTATACATTGTCATGCACGCCCCTTCAAGCTCACCACAAACCCTCCTTTTTCCAAGTGGTTGAGAATTGAAGGCGGCATTTGCAGTCTGACAAGTGGCCAGGTATCAAATGAAGATACATAGAGCGGTCCCATCATCTTCAAAGCAGCGACTCTGAGATGCCAATTGCATGTACGAATGGCGTAGTATAGAAGCATGTACGAGAGGGCATCTCGATGGATGGAACTGTGCTACAACTTGTATTTACCATCTTCTTCTGCCTGCTTTCTTGTGAATTCTTCAAACAGGTCAGGTTGTGCTTCTTTCATGTTAAACCTCCACATGAAAGCCAGCAGCTGGCATTGGAACATTGCCTCCCATGCAGTAAGTAGAAACCTGTGCGTCGGTTTAAAGTGGCCACTTGATGCCAGAGAAGTCAGTGTTGCCCCTTTGTGGTTCTTCACAGCCAGCACATGAAGACCTGCATGCCAGTAGATCTTCATGAGCACAGGCTGTAGATTTTTCAAAATGTGCCAGTCTCCAGGAAACGGTATTAACCACTCCATGTCCTGCACACATTCCTGCTTGATTTTCACCAAATGGCCGTAGGTCTTGGCATTCCCCACAACAACAAGATGTTTGATTCTTTTTTTCTATTCGAAGGTGCTTTTGTAGATGTTCAAGGGTACCCTTGATAGTTTCAATGTCATCAGCAATTTTTGCCCCCTAATTTTTCCAAATACCGTATTTGCCGGCGTTAAGGTCACAATATTTTTGGAAGAGAAAATATCAAAAAGTCTGGGTGCGGCCTTTGCGCCGCAAGAGGAAAAAAAAAACAGCACAAATTTGAATATGGGACTGCAATAACTATACCACTATGGTACTGGACATTTCCACACATCTTACCAACAATTTTATCTTGCATTGTTGACATGAAGACAAAAATAAACTTCTTTAGTAAAACAAGTGTTGAGGGGATCTATCTAATTTCAGGGTAATGATTATTAATGTACCGGTAAACATACACCAATTTCTCACTCTAATCAATCTTTAAACATTCACTAGAATTTAGAAAGCTGCATTTATCACCTCTCAATCTCAAGTTATACTAATTAAGTCAAGTTCAACCATACAAGATAGTCTTTCATTAAACTACAAAAGAATACATAAATGTAAAGTTTCACTGAAATTTATAACTGATATTTAATCAACAGACACAAAATCTGTGTAATAAAACATCAACTTGAAAATAACAGGACACACTTCCTGTAGGGCTGTGGTTTAAAATCAACGACAATCAAACAACTTGTCGCTAACTCCTTGAATGATGTTTGAGGGTTAGCCGAAGCCAAGATTGTCTATTGGTAGGCGTTTTATGAACAATTGGCGTAAGATGCCCCCTTCCAACTGACGTTCACCTAAGAGTGCACGCATGCGTCGGAGTAGTTGTATGGGCTCCCGGTCACCCAATTCCTCTTCCGTGAGGAGCATCTGTAACCGCGCTCTTCTGATGCTGTCGTCCGTTTCACCAACTCAGCCTTCAACGTTGTGTATGGAGTCGCTTTAGGTGGGTTGATCAAAATGTCTCTAACCTCCTGTGCTATCTCCGGCTGGAGCATTGAATTGTGTGACTAAACTTGGTGCTTTCTGATGAGATCCCTTTCGTGAAAAATTGGGCCTCCACCTGGGCAAACCACACTTCTGGGTCATTCCTCCAAAATGGAGGAAGCTTCAAGCTTACTGCCCCAACAGAAGGGGTGGGGTGTGGGGGGGGGGGGATGGGGGAGTGGATGAGGTAGAAGCACCTTCTATAGGAGAATCTGTAGACATGATTTGTGCAAGCTTCAGGCTGAGGGGAAAGTGCAATATAACATGAAATGTGAATCACCCAACAAAATAATAAACCTGAGCAAATTGGACAAAAAACTACACAAGGTACCTTGGCTGTACAATGCAAGGTAGTATCAAGAGAACTAAGTCGTGTACAAGCAACACGATAGAAGTTGTTCTCTGAATGATTTCAGTTGGGCATTAAACTGTGGGTTGGTTGGCCCCTGATCCCCCATTGTATTTTTTATAGAAGTTACCACTTTTGCTATGGTTTCATCTTTGTCGTGGTCTACAATGGCTTGAGAAATTTCTTCCATTGTGCTTTTCAATACCAGTAGATCTTCATGAGCACAGGCTGTAGATTTTTCAAAATGTGCCAGTCTCCGGGAAACGGTATTAACCACTCCATGTCCTGCACACATTCCTGCTTGATTTTCACCAAATGGCCGTAGGTCTTGGAATTCCCCACAACAACAAGATGTTGGATTCTTTTTTCTATTCGAAGGTGCTTTTGTAGATGTTCGAGGGTACTCTTGATAGTTTCAATGTCATCAGCAATTTTTGCCCCCTTATTTTTCCAAATAGCCCCCTGAAAGCAGTAGGTAGCCCCTATAATTACCATAGGGTATTATGCGAAAATATCTGTATATTCATCAGATTGGAAAAGTAGCCCCCTAAAATTTAAAATGAATTCCTATTTATGTATTCACTTCATAATACGTACTTCATTTTACAGACTGCAAGCACTCCTTATTTGCGTGTGATGGCAGCCCTTGTGGCAGCACTGGTACTCTCTGAAAAGGAGTTGTGCACATCTATTATATCTGCTGTATCAGAGTCCTTCTGTATGACTCTTTCAGTTGGATTATCTTCCCTTTGGAAATGGAGAAACCTTGTATGCTTTCTGTAGCATCCCTTGACAGAACAGGTCTGATTCAGAAAGCACTTGCTGGATTGGCGACCTGCTGTCAAACAATTGTAGCAAAGGCGGTTATCTCTTGCCAAGAGATATCAGGCGGGTATATTAAAATTACTGTTCTGGGAATGGCCTTGTAGCTGATGTGATGTACTGTAGGAGGCAGGTTGGATTGTATTGGAACAATTCGCCATTGTGTGAGGTCATTGAATCCCTGAATGGGTTAAGAGTGTCAGCATAACAAGGTAAAAAGTAACATACATGCAGATGATTTTACAGACCCCCTTTCAATTCGACCTCCCATATTATTACTTCAGAAATTCCCCTAAGTATCTTGAAATCATGTTCGCTCTTCCTTTTGGGAGAATTTGTATCTTGATACCCATTATAAACAGACGGCTATTCCTATTATACATGACTCTAAACAGGGACAACTTGGTAGAGTCCTGTCTGGTAGTGCGATATGCTAAAAAGATGGTGCTAATCTCCTCATCCCAATCAGCACAGATCCCTCTCACCGCCTTTTCAAGACATTTGATCAAGGTTTGATTAAACCTTTCACACAGGCCATTTGTTTGAGGTTGATATGCTGAGTCCCCTCTCACTGCCTTTTCCAGACATTTGATCAAGGTTTGATTAAACCTTTCTCAGAGGTTGAAATGCTGAGTCCCCTCTCACCGCCATTTCCAGACATTTGATCAAGGTTTGATTAAACCTTTCTCACAGGCCACTTGTTTGAGGGTGATCTGCTGATGAGACATGGTGCTTTGTACCCGTCATTTTCAGCATCTCTGCCACTAACTGATCGTTGAACTCCCTCCCTTGGTCGGTGACAATTGATGCAGGAAAAACCCAACCTATGCACAGAGAATAAGATTATTGTAGGACTACAAAACAAAAGAAAAGATTTGACAATTAGTTCACTTTGGTAGCCAAATTCTAAAAGTTGTGAACCAATCAGGTTCCCTAGTCCAATGCCTGGTAATTTCTAGATGTGTGTACCCGCTCTTAAAACATGATCCAATCCAAGAGACTGGGGGCTTTCTAATCTTCCTCAAGCATCAAAATATTTTACATATTATCACAACAAGATGATTCTACATTATTTAATAAAAACCCTCATGCACCTCACAACACACAAATCATTAAAGCAGCAATGTAATGTTAATTGTTATTGTATAATTGTGTAAAGTGGGGGCACGCTACAAGAGTCCTATCTCGCACCCCGGGGCAACGTGTCTGACACGGCCGGTTGTAGCAACTACTCCGAAGATCAAGATCTAAGGAGACACTAACGAACGAACTAGAGAAATATGATGAATTTAAATTACTCCAATATCTATTTTTTGAACATTTCTGACTAGTATTTAAACTCACAACATAAAACTTAAATCTCTGAAAGGAAGACACAAATCGTACTTTGTCATATTTTTTATAAGAACAGTAACGTACCAACTTTTTAGTTTTGGGCCACACACTTTCACTGCCACTGTGACACTTTGACAATTCTAACGTTAAAGTTAGAGTAGGCCTACCGATACAGTTCTCTGGTTACAAGTTCTTTTGCTATTTTAGCTCTAAATTTTTGTTCACATGTTATGAGGAGTTCATTCCAACGATGTTGATTAAAATGTAAACGAATGCACAGATGCCCATGCCTGGAATAAACAAAGAAGTCACACCAGGTCCTCTGCCATACACCCATTTGTAGCTGCACCTGGGAGAAGTATGGATGATTCTCCTTGAGGGAGGGTCTGCCATTGATCATGTTGACGTAAGGAAGGGTTTCATTAGGTTGTGTGTGCGCTACGGAAATGGGGCATTTAATTTCTAACAGCCCTGACCCGCAACACCTGCAGGACACAACAGCATCGGCACTTGCTCCAACATACACCTGGTCCCCTTTTATTTGAAGGTCACACTCCTCAACACAAAGGTGCTTATGCCCTGCCGACTTCATCGCTTCCTTATATTTGTATCGAGCCTCGTCCTCTAACTCTCTCCCATACTTCAGTGACGGTATGTTTGGGTTCACAGTCGTGTACCCCAAAATCTGCTTAACATTTGCTCCACAGTCTAAACTCTTCCCCTGACTGCCCATCAACCTCTTTCCTTTTGTGAAAACGCTGTGAGTGATAGAGCCAATAACTCTTCCTTTTCTTGGAAGTACCCATTCTTCATTTGAAGCTTGTCCACGGGTGGCTTTCTCCAACTTGACAACCTTGGCAGAACTTGTCACAAACACTATATTAATTTGTTGTATTACTGTTATTACTATATGACATGCTATTCACAATATAATTTGAGTACTGCCCTAAGAGAAAAGGAGAAAACTGCAAATTAAAGATATTTTAGCGCATGGCAATGGGAAAGTTGACCATCGATATGTAACAATTGACTCATCAAATTGCCAATTTGATATGTGCATACATGTAGATCTAGTGAACTCTTGTTCTTAAAACATCCCAAACTTTTTTTATACCTTGTCCGATGTACCATCCTACCTTTCTTATATTGAAGCTTTCACACAAATTATATTATATGGGTAGTGACTTCTGAAAATACTTAAGTCTGTGTTGAGACTTTCTGCCCCATTTTTTCTTTTTATTGTAGACTTTTGTCTTTATCGTTAAAGGATCAAATGAAACTTCCTTTTAATTCCTTCCAGCAAATGTCTCTAACTCCTTGCGATCTGTTAAAAATGGCGCGGTAGTGTCAGCTGCTGAATCCAAAGTATCCTGGGGCATACTGCCAGGGGATACAATATTAATAATAATTGATAAAAATAATAATAATAATGATCAAAATAACAACAATAATATTCCACTCTTGTATACTACATATCACATTATCATATAATGTCTTTATGTTTAAACATAGGAGATGGCATTTCTTGACCTTGGGAGTTCAATTAATTTTTTTCTTTCTTTGTTTGGAAGTCGAGAAATATAAGTCTTTACAGCTTTTATTTTGTTACGGCTGATCTTGTTACACAAGTTGCATTAAAAGAATGTCTTTGAAGAAAATTTTGGACTGAATTAATTTCCTTTAGTTAGCTATGTTTCTTATTTGAGTTTCCTTTATAGTCACTGTGCTGCCTGCCCTTCACTTTCCAACAAAATATATACTGTTTGATTTTATGTAATTACCAGGTAGACTCCTAGAGGCTTCTCCGTGAATGTATTTCCCAGGGAAGATTCTCGATCATCTGTACCAGAGCAAGAGTCTGCGACCAGAGCGATATTTGTGGAGGCTTTCTTTGAATCCTTTTGCCTCCATCACTGGACTCTTCATGTCAACCTCCCTCTTGTCCATGAAGTGAACGTTGAACACGCCTTTCGTATCGGGCTCCATGAGCGTGTAATCAGAAAGAAAAAAAGTACCGGTACTATTATACAGATATTGCCTGCCTTGAGGTTTAATAAATTATTCAATTCCCCAAACGGAGTTATATTTTCCCCAAGGGACTTGTAAGATATTTGCCAATGAGACCCAATACCTGAAGTTTTACTTCCGCTGTCGAAGTAGAAAAGTCATGTAGGATGGCGCTCCTCAACCCACCATATCATGTACCGATGTTGAGCAGTTCTGTGAATTCATCGTAAAACTCGCAAACGATTTCCACGGTAGCGGGGTAATACACCTCTTCAAATGTTCTTACTGTACAAGAAAGCAACAAACCCTTTTGGATCCCAAATGAATATGTATCACAAGAAAATAATCAGGCTACTTCAAGAGTAAATATAGTGTACATATTTAATTAATAGCCATATGCTCAATAATGTACACACAAATAAATGACAAAGCAAAGTGAAAGTTGCCGCAATCAATGAATCTACCGTAGCTGCCTGTCTTCTGTTCGAATACCACTTCTTTCTTGAAGGCCATTGCATCTAGCATAAGCATGCAATGTGCCATAATGGGGGTGTGCTGCAACCATTTCCTTGAGATGTGCGATGACTTCTGTGAGAATACCAGGCTGGCAATTTAAACCTGTACTCCACTGACGTATGGTGGATAGATGAGGGAGGCAATGATAAGTGCAGAGGAAATCGTAAGCCTGGGAACTGTAAAAATGGAGAGTCACTGCAAAAAATTTCAGCTCTTCGGAATAATGGTGACCATGCTTGTTTGTGTCTTTAGCTTTCAGCTCATTTTCAAAGAGTTTAAATGTGTTCTCTTCAAAGTTGTGTTGAAGTAGGCCAAGCTGATCCTTGCTAACAAGCATGTTTTTGTGGACTGCCTGTAAGAGAGTACTGATTTTTCCATCTCTCCTCTTTACTCTCTGTTTCACCACTTTAAGCTGTTTCTTGGCATCCTGCAGTTACTGTCTGGCTATCTTCAGTTTTTGATCAATTGGGATAGAAGAAGAATAGTCATGTTCTTTTGCGATGTCGTAGGGTTTCTTTGGAGGCACTGGAACACTTTTGGATGTTGTACATGGTTTTGTTGGGAGTCTTGAGCCATGGGTTTGTTTATAGGGAGGATGTCCGAGAAAGATGGTGGGCACAGCACAAGGAAGGAGATGGTGGTGGTGTGTAGCTTCCTTTTCCTCTCTCAGATGTATTCCTGCATTACAATAAAAGCAAACAGAAACAAAAATGAGTTTTCTCATGACATGACAAATGTTCTACTATTTCATATAATCATGCAGCACCTTCGAAAATTCAGAAAAATAGCATGCCTCATAGGAACAGGTTATCTCATCGCAATGGAGAAAATCTTGACGAATACAGCAATACATGTTAGTATGCACCTCTTTGATCTCGCTCGTTTCAGTATTGCGATAGCGCGATACTGCTGTACAAAGCTATGCTTATGCTCCACCGTCGAGTGCTTGTACCCTCTCTCATTGAGCTTGTAGTAAGCTCTCTAGCCGTCGGAGTAGATTGTAGAGCCATTGGCAATGTGCCTCTTAATGAGGGGAGCAGAGTCGCCTCATCCCTATTATCTACTGGGTAGATGATCAACATATTAGTGCTCCTCTCTACCATGCTGAAGATCCAAACTTTTAGTCCTCTCGGATCACCATGGTTGTACTTACATCTCCGGCCAAATAGACATTCATAATGTCTTCTCCATCCTCAGGAGTAGTGCAGGTCGTTCACATACTTGCGAGTAATGTCTTGCAGAAAGTTCGCCCAATCGACGGATGTCTTCTTGTAATCCAGGCCGGATGTAATAATGCATCAATGTAAAGAAGATTGAAGAATCCACTCTCTGATGAAAACAAGGATGTCTCTCACATCTAGTTGGCTGCGTTTGAAGATGTGATAGAGTTTGATTGTCACTGATAGATTCCACAATCTATGGGCTGTGGTAACGTCTGAAGCAAGGGTTCAGACACATTGGCAGCTTGCAGGTTTCGCAGAAGAAGGAAGTTGTGACTCTGCCATTCCTGGCCTTCTTCGAGCAGACCACGCAATCAGGGTAATACCGGGTCTTCCCTTTTTCCTTCCTCTGATCAGCGAAATGATCTCCAGTGAGCCTCAGTGCCAAGCGATTGTCCCAGGTAGACTCGCGCAGTTTCTTGGGTCGTCCAGCGCTGGAGGTCTTCGCGTAGTTGTCAAGCAGGCTGTTGATGACTCTCAGGTGGCTAGATGCCACATCTTAGAATTGGGGACAGAAGAATAGAAAATTTAGTACAGGCTCACCTCTCGCATAATCCTCTTTCAGAAAATGTTCACTGCAGAGTTTGAGTGCATCCTCCCTGGCCACACTGTAGAATTAGTCCCGCTCCATCAAAGAGTGCATGGGCACAAGGTAGATGTGTGAGAAAAGCTTTGATTGCCCATGTAAAATCAAATGGCAGACAAAACACTTAAAATACATTATTCATGATAGCTAGGAGCTGCAACACTAGAGAGCACATCGCCAAAATAATGTTTGGCATATCTCATGATTTATTTTTTAAAGATTCCTACTAAGATTTGCATATGTTCAAACTTCAAAATTTAGCGATTTGTCCCATGCCATTAATGTGTCAAAACTCGTTTTTTATTCATTTATTTCTATATTCACTATAACTATAAACATTGTGTATGAAAGCAACTTTACCATGGAAATGAAGTAAAGAGAGAGAGAGAGGGGGGGGGGGGGGGGGAGGGATACTTACAAGCACTTATCATCAACAAGGGCTTGAAGAATGATGGATGGTATCCTTTTCGATTTACATAATCGACAGCATTCTCTGGAGGTGCATTAATCTCAATGTGTGACCCATCCACAGCTCCAACACATTGAGGGAAGTTCCATTTTTCCTTGAAGCCCCTTATAACATCTTTTAGTGCATTTCCTTCTTGAAATGAAATATTTGTTTGCTGGAGATGTTGTGCAATTGCAAGGCAGCCTTTACACGTTATTTTGTTAGCCGTTGAAATTCCAACACCAAAAAGTTCTGATATGGTTCGAAAAGCATCTGGAATGCCCAAGCGCCAAAGTGCTATGGCAACCCATTTTCTTCACATGGCACTTCTCATTTAGGAATCATCACGCCTGATGTATGGTCCAAGTTTTGCTACCAAGAAGTTGAATGTTGCCATTCTCATTCTTAAGTGCTTTGACCATTCCGAATCATTGAAATTTTGTTGGGCATTCTCCCACCAATTCCTGGCCTCCAACGTGCCCATACCACCATGACGGTGTACAATTCATCAGCAATTAATACCATTTGAAAACATAATTTTAATTGACGATTCCTGCGGATACATTGTCTATAATTGCGAGTCAGGTACCAACTTTTTGTTAAGTAATCCCTCTGACATGTCGATTGTAATTGCACAAGTTGTCCTATCGAATGGGACAATGATTCAATATAATATTTAATTACCTAGTCCTCATCAAAGAGCCAAGGGCAGTTGGAGTGGATTTTTTTATCTTTGAATATGGTTGCGACTCAACCAGCCAGGCCCTCCTGTCGGCCAAAGTTTTGTCCATCGCTATCTTTACCCTGTTAAAATCTGGTTGCCGTTTTTTGGGGTGGCCTGCATGAAGGTAACATGCTTTTTGACAGTCTCGCTGTCCTCAGATACCAGACGTTGTGGCAGGTAAGAAGCCATTCCCCATTGTGGGCTAGACGTAGAGACCTGGGACCTGTTTCACAAAGCCTTTTTTCAATGACAAATGACAAAAGTCAGTGACAAATCTGCTGATAACCAATCAGAAGCATGGATTTCAGTAGCTTATAACAAAAAACTGTCATTTGTCACTGGTGACAGGTTTTGTGAAACACCTGGTCATTACATGCACCTTTTGGCTGACGTATGTTCAGCATCTTCCTTGCCTGAACTTATAGATAATTCTATTCTTCCCCAGAAGCTGAAGTATTGAGGGAGAAAATACAAGCATTTTCACATGCAGCCATCCTGCCAATAGAAGTTACTGCTGAAGGAATGTAGTGTTTGTGAGAAATTTGAATATCTTGCATGAACAATATTTCCAAGCTGTAAACTTCTTTTGACAAAATCTGTAAAGCATATTAACATGCATGACCAGGCGCAATAATTTAACAGAAATTAAGGCCCGAATTCACAAAGGAGGTTTGTCGACAAACCATGGTTTTCATGCATCATGTATCATGTGACGCGTTTTGACGCATTTTTACAAACCAGGTTTGTAAAAAACGCGTCAAAACGCGTCATATGACGTACATAAACCAAGGTTTGTCGACAAACCTCCTTTGTGAATTCGGGCCTTAGAGTTCACAGTTACTGTATTGTAACACGCAGATCACACGCGGAAACTGATAGAAATTCTGTTGAAGCTGGGGAAGGTTGCTGCTGTCTCCGAACACATTTAGCAGCACAGCAAAGATTTTTGACGGGTCGTTCACATCAGCCCCTCTTCCAAGGATCTCCCTGCGGGCCTTTCCACCCAAGTGTTCCAGGAGAAAAGCTACCTGCTCCCCTTCCCGTAGGCTCTTTGATGCCATCACCATCTGCGCATCTCCGATCCAATCCTCCGCAGAGGGATCGCTGCTCTTCTCTGGGCGGCCACTAAATCTTTCTAACTTCTGGCCTGGCGATATGTAAACTGTCCTTGGCATGGGGCTTGCCGTCTCTTGGTGGTAAGCTGTCCCTGAGGTATCTTGTCGAAGTCTAACAACCTCCTCCTTAGCAGCCTTCGCCTCTGCCTGTGCGGAAGCAACTTCCTCGTCCTTAATATCCATGGCGAGCTTCATCGTCTCCAGCAGCTTCTCTAAATCATCCATACGCTTCTTCATTTCTTGATCCATATATATAGAGGGAGGGAAATGACAACAGAGGGGAGAAAATTTTATTGATTATTCTGTTAGACAACCACAAGGAATATTAGATTCAATACACAGCAATCACATGTCATATTAAGTAAGCATGAAAATCCGACTTACATAAGAAAATATCTTATTTGATTGCATACAAAATATTATTGTGCTTGCTTACCAACATACATTATTAATGCATGTACCTGCATGTTATATACAAAATTATCTAAAGGTTTGTGTGTCCATTTGATTCAGCTTGAACTGAAATTGTTACCGAGCAAGTTTCACTCGAAAAAGTTATCACCGTTAACCTATCAATGTCCAAAGGTAGAACACTTTCACCAGTTCGCCACCATTGTTGACAACTTGACATCAAGGAATCTTGTGCAATGTCGACCCGTAGATGGAGATCATCATCGGCACTGGTATCGAGGGGGCAGTTTGGGTCGGCACGGCAGCTTCAGAGGGATACAGCCACGAAGTCATCCGTCCTGGTCACAGGCGATCAGCAAGCCAGGGTTTGGTGTTTGTGTAAGGAATATCCTGCTGATTACGCCATTTTGTAACACGCAGATCACACGCGGAAACTGGTAGAAAAGACTCATCACACCATTCTTTGTGTTGCGGTTCGTTTTATTTCAGGTGCAAAATAAACCCTGGCAATCTGGCCAAGAGGACCGTTTCCTCTGATTTTACCCGCTTCTTGCATCTTGATTGTCAATACCTAAAGGAATAATAATTAATACAAATCATTGTGAATTATACTCTACAACAGAAAACTGAAGAAGATTCAGACTATATCCGAAGTTTACATGTCAGCTTTGTTAATGCTATTATTGCTATTATTATTGTTGTTATTATTATTATTGTTGTATTTTCTTTGTATCCTCGAATGTATTTATATATTGTTTATGTTGTTTGTATATGTACGTCACTCGCCAGTGGAGGACGAATTTCTGTATTTTTTTAAAATCAGACAATAAATTATCTTGAATCTTGAATCTTGAATCTTGAAACCTGTTAACTCTTAAAAAATTACTTCGCACTCCTTCGCACTTCAAACTCCTCCATCAGCATCAATTTTAGCAAATCCATCTTCACAAGACCCACACACCTACAAGAAGACCCAGACACCTGCAAGAGGACCCAGACACCTGCAAGAAGAGATAATAACAGATATGGTTTTACGATTTCATACCAAGTATACATCATAAGGTTTGTTAAAATGAAAAGGGATGTTATCTTTCAGAGGGCATAGAAGTTACTGCTAAAGGAATGTAGTGTTTGTGAGAAATTTGAATATCTTGCATGAACAATGTTTCCAAGCTGTAAACTTCTTTTGACAAAATCTGTAAAGCATATTAACATGCATGACCAGACGCAATAACTTAACAGAAAAAACAACAATTAGAGTTCACAGTTACTGTATTAAAATAAATTAACTGTAGAAAAATTTGCAGGATACAGGGTCCCAATGGTGTGCTGAGCGAACAATCTGCGACAAGTCCGTTACTGATCTATATGCCTCCATGATCCCCGGAGGAGGGCTACAATCTTAGATTTCTTTTTCTTTTTGCCTCCACTCTTTGTGACTCCTGCCTCTTCTGGGTTGATAGAGAAATGATGGAACTCAAAGTGTCATTTTCCTTTCCAGTAGATATTCTGTATGTAAGAAGCAATCTCCTCCCAATACATATGGATCGCTAGTTTGGTGACAAGCCCCATGGCGATCTGCAGCGCGGTGAATGCCTTCATCTCGTCTGGTGTTGTCTCTTTGCACTTGTTCAGTCTTGAATGTCGTTGCAGAACACCCAGTCTCTGAATAGTTTGTCTTGCGTAGAGGTTCGCCTGCTCAGCAAGCTTGGTAAACAAATCCTCCGGGGAAAAACTGGTGGAAAAAATCGACCGGTTTGAGGTTGTTTGTGTCGAACAAGAGTTTGGGCTCTTCACTATAAGGGTTCTGCCAGGAGGATGCCCACTCTTCCTCTCCCATATTGATCCAGTGATCTTCCTCTTCATGGCATGCCCTCAACCTCTCTGTCCGAATCATGCATGAATTCCGCGTCGATATCAAAGGCAAGAACGAGGCAGTCAAAATTATTTCAAGAAATTCATGGGATATATTGTTACTTTGCTTTAAAATATCAATATTAAAATCTCCCATTATGTAAACAACTTTGTTTTCAAAAAGTGGATTCTTTAGTAATCAGACTCGTAAAACATTTCTGAAGTCAGAGCAGAAAATTTATTTCACTCTTCTTCATCATTCGACTGTTCATCTTTTTCTGGTCCTAAACAATGCATGAAATAATCCTCAGATGGTTGAACAGATGCTACTTAAAAAAATGATCAGTATGGACATGGCCAGTCACTGTGACTTCTTTAGAGGACTCAGCTGCAGATGTCAGTGCACAAGCAGAACTGCCATTATATAGTAGTTCTTCTAAGGAATCTTTTTGAAGTTTCTCTTCCTTAGATGGCTGTACATAGGCTACTTCAAACAGAGCTTATAATATATGATCCATTTCTGGTTCAACATATTTAATGGCCAACTCACAAATAGGCAGCATCTTGCC